GTGCTCACATCGTCACCCATGGCTGAAACACCCAAGGTCAGCAGAAGGCAGAGCAGCCCTGTTTCCAGGCCAGAACACGTCGCCCTGCAAGTCGTACCAATGCTGTTCCCAAAACATTAATTTACCAAAAGGGAACTGCACTTCTGCTGGCATTCCACAGGTATCAGCTTTCTGGCATCACTGTACTGCATCTGATGTACTGCAGCCAAAATGAGAAAGGCAAGGCCAAACAGCCTTGACAAGATTCTTGGGGGTCATATTTCTTCTGCATTGTAAAGTGCTAAATGCCACCAGGAATTCCTTATCTGCTCTCTGGGTGGGTAAACCCAATGCGAGCCCCTCTAAAATTAAACCATATACACCCCCGGTGTCAGGTCTGTGAAACAACATCTACTTAGTTTTCTGGTTTAGTGATAGCTGCTGGTGAGAAAGGGCAGATGATTTTTCAACAAATGTTAAATATTCTAGATTCTCACAATGTTCCCAATTCAGATCGTTTTCCTCCCCATTAGATGCAGACTGTTGGCACAGTATGCCTCATACGGCAATTAAGATAAGGCAAACTGCTCTTCAGAAAGGTGCTGGACTTTGGAAGGAGGCACTGAAAGAGTTTTTATTGACAGTAAATACGAAACTGCATTCAGACGTGGTATTGAAAGAGCCTGCATGTAGCTATAGTTAATAATTAACACGCTTGTGTATGCAGTAGTCTTCAAGTGACAGGGGAAATCTAAAAGACCCAAACAGAAAACAGAGGGGAAAAAAACCCAAAAAACACTGTAATAGTAACTTGATGTTTTCTGTCAGCAATAGACAGGCTCAGCAATCAGTATGTAACACAATTCTTCATTCAGGCAGAATCAAGGCACGGGGAGTGGAAAATTAGTCTCACTTCCAGGTATGTGTCAGAGTATTCGGTTTACACTTTGCTGGGCTTCTGTTTCCTTAATGCATGTTTAAAAACTTCATGTGTTAGTTCTCCGAATGCTTTCCTTTTCCTGAAGCTGCTTTTGTAACAGAGGCCTTACAGTGCTCGGTTAATGGTTCTAAAATGCTGTCAAGAGTAATAATACTATTAACAAATTTCATGTATTTATTATTTTTAGTAGAACAGTAGAGAACACCTAGTAGTGGCTAGCTGAAGAGCCTACATCTGGAAACGAACAATGCTTACAAAATTACCCATTGTAATACTCATCACTTAGCATAATTACCATGACACAAACAATTTTTAAAACAATTCAGCAAATTGGAGAGGGTGGCAACATTATATGGCTTGTTTTAAAGATCTACTGTTGCCTTATCCAAATGTGTCTGCCTTGCCTTAATCTGAACTCCAAAAAAAATTTTGTAATTAATAACTCTTTAAAAAACTTCACTTGTTCACAGCTCTTTATTCAACTCCCAGCAAAACAGTCTGCTGGCCATCTCCTGTCTTTGTTCTATGACTGCCAACAGCACAATTTACATAAAGGACAATATGGCACAGAGGGACATGAAACTCCCAACAACTTTTTCTTATCTTTAAACAGGAGGGGGTTTTTGTGGTTTTGTTTTTTTTTTAAATAAACTTCAATGCCAAAATGGACCAGAACACATTTATTGGTTACAATTGCAAATAGTGGTGTGCAGTAAATTTAAAATATCATCCCGAGGGGGCCAGATCACGATGCAGCTTGTCCCTGGTCTTTCCTTGCCCTACCAACGACATCAGCCGTCGGGCAATGTTAATCTCTTCCTGATAGCCTTTGCTCCTGCCCCTCCCTTGCTTCCTTTTCTATTTTGAATGCTCTTCCAGGTACTTTGGCAAGCCTCTGCTTTCCTTCCTAGGACTCCCACACATTCCAGAGCTGGTTAGCACAATCAGGAGCTCAACCATTAACCAGAAGCTAAAAGTAATCAAACACAAACCTCCCTACAAATCCCCACTCCCTTATTTGGCTACCACCTCTTCACAACAGGCCTTTATCCCATTTGTTGAAGCTACTACAAGACTTTGGGTATTTTAAGGAAACAAGACAACTGGATGATTTTATTACATGGAACAGTCCTGCAGAGAAGAGGTAACATTTAAGAACTATCAGAAGTGGAAAGGAAAATGAACCAACAAACACCAGAGAAGCATTTAGGCACATAACTCCAGTCGAATGAATGCAGTATTTTGTGACCAGCGTGGGCTGTGTGAATTAATCGAGACTCCAAAGAACGCACTGACACACAGAAAATTATGAATTTTAGCAAGGTCAGACATGCTTGGACTTTCAGGCCAGAAGCAGAAAAATACAACCTCGCTTGCAAAAGAGAGCGAGTAGCTGCTGGTGGGAACGCCAATATACCTAAAATAACCCACTGTCTCTGCTGGGTCTGAGCATCCAGCACAGCTACAAATGCTAATACTCATCTTTCAAAAGTACTGTTTTCCTCTACTGAAGATGGAGCAAAAATAGAAAAATGGAAAAAAATGCTGCCAGTAACATGCTGGTTCTTATCAATACTGTCTGTAGTGTGTATCAGAGGGTTTTACTTCAGCTCTTTCTTTTGGGAGTGGTGAAACTAGAAACTCTTGACATGATGTCAGGTGCGTACCCATGGAACAATCTGCTTATTCAAGTAAGTTACGGAAGTAAGAAACAGCACGAAGAGTTGTTTGTCTTAGGGCAATATGCAAAGTATGATACGAGGATCAGAGCCCACCCCCTGCCTCTGCTGTACCAGCTGATGGAGTCCTTGCCCTTGCTTACAATTTGAGGCAAGTATCAGAGCGAAAAATGAGTCACGTCCTATGATTAATTTTGTACACTGAGATAAAACTAACTCTAACTTGTTGACACTATTTATCTTCACCAGTTAGATTAAATCCACTTGTTACTCAGCTGCCCAAACCCAGGAAACTGTTTGCATAAACAGCAGTAGCATTAGGGATGAAGGGCAAGGCACATCAAATGTGGAAGTTTAAGTGCTCTTATAAAATCGACCCCAACTGGCCAAATCTGGAACAGAATCATTCCAGTAAGTCTTTTAAGAAACACAAAGAATTCAAATCAATATGCGTGTTTGCAGTCTTTAGCTTTGCTGTCATAACCTGAAATCACACTTTACATAATGAATTACGAATTCTACGTGCAGCTTTATTTTGGTATAAATATTTTCATGAGATGTACGGGAATGGACAGTGAACCTCCAAATAGGAATCAGATGCATGTTAGTGAATATGCTGCAAGAAAATTACTTTAAAAAAATAATTTTTTGAAAAGTCAATCACAAATATAATTAGAAAGGCTATACATGATCAGACAAATAACCAGGAGGAAGTATGCTTGGTTCAAATATCAAGTCACTAGCATCCATACAGATATGTTTGAACAGCTATTTGAACACTAGGAGATAGAGCTAAATACTACTGTTTTCCATTATGCTGTCAATGATTTGCACTGCTCTAAATTCAAAACAGTAAAAAGGTGTTCTATTTTTAGCTTTCCTTTGTTAAGAAAAATTACTTTTGTACTCATAGTCATCATATTTACCTCAGTAGAGCTGAAATTTCAGATAATTATTGTACCTTTTATTTTGATTGTAAAACATGCAAACAGTGTGCACAATTAACCAAGAGCAGCTTTCAGTGAAATGTTACTCTCTGTTTAACAAAACATCAGGTAACGCTTATACTTTAAATGAAAATACTGGGCAACAATACTATATAGCTATTGTTTTTCAATGACAATATTAATCACATCTGTGAAAAGTCTGGCTAGCCAGAGAATCATGCCAACCCAACCACAAGTGTCAGAGGAACCAAGAAAAAAAGCAAGTTTGCACTGAACATCTTTTCATACATTGATAAACAATTTCTAGAAGTACAGTATAATGTTTCCTCAAGAATTAGTCAACAACTTTGTGCTTCTACTTTACAGGCAGTTAAAAGCCACCAGTGGTAATAATACAACAGTGCAAGTACTGAAGTGTTCTTCCAGATCATTATTTCTTTTAAAGTTTTTTTGTTTAAAATCCAGAGTATGTAATTTATTTCATTCTTATTTTTGAACAGTCTGAAAAAGCCAGCTCATCATACGAGTACCATACTCAACTCTGCAAAACTGAGCAAAAGGTAAGTTTCTGCATCAGCACAGTACTAAGGGAAGCTTTGTATCATGGTGAAAGAAGATAATCTAAGCCCACTTACTTAAGAAATGCAGCAGAAAAAACTTAGTGCAAAAATCTGCTACCAAGAGAGGATCTTAATTTTGCTCAACTAAAAAGAAGTCAATAAATTATGTATTTTTACTCTTTGAAGAACAAAAGGGAACAGAAAGAGAAATCCATAGTAACAGATTTAAATGTTTGCAGAGATATTGCTGCACAGCTTAACCAACATATACCAGCCTTTCCAGTTCCCTATGGTGCTTACAGCCACACAGACCTCTAAGTAATGTAAAGTTTAACTCAAAGAAAAAATCCTAACGTGAAAGAAACTAGAATTTAGAATTTGGAGAAAAGAGCAAATTCTGCAATACTTAGAGGAAAACTTATTAGGTGCATTGCACAAAATGCTGCCACTTTACTAACTGCCGCAGTTTAGCGTTTGTGCACTGGTCAGAAGTCACCAGGTGGTTCAGTCCTTACATCCAAACAAGACTACAGACAGTAAGAATTAATTGCTTACTTCTGCAGTAAGAAAGAGAGAAATGCAGTGAGAGGAAGGGAGACCTCAACCACTTGGACGCAAATCCAAGCAGTGACACAGAAACACAAAGACTGAGCACTAGAGAAAAAATATATTATTTTCATTTTTGTTGCAAAACGTAGTCATGTCAAGAAAAAACAATAGAATTAAGCTCATGTGCTTCAGAACCCAAGGAAGGACTTGGCTTGTGGTTAAAGTCTTTAAACTTCCATGAAGGAGAATATCATGAAGCATCCTCTTTTCCAGAATATATTAAGCAGGACAAATCCAATTTAGTTTTTAATGCTGTTGAAAATTCTTTCGATAGCAGTTCGTGAAGGGATACTCTGTCATGAGAATATACCCAATTCCGTCCAGTCCAGTCATAGCGCTTGGGCCCACTAGAAAACAGAAAACACACTGCGTAAGTACAGATAATTCATGGAAAGCTACTGGAATTCTCTATAATGTACCCCACAGAGCACTCAAGAAAAGGAAACAGAGCATGGAGAAAGACTGGCGAGCAGACTTGGCAAGGGAACAGAAAAGCCCAGATCTGCCAGGAACTGCCAAGCCATCCAACAGATATAGCTGAAAGGTGACAAGATGCATCAGTCACTCCCAGCAGACACAAGCTCCTTCCCTTCTTTCTTTTTGGCACTGATTTTCCCAGCTTCTTCCCTTACTCCCTTTTTCCCCTCAACCCACACAATTTTCTTGCGCATAAATATTACAAGGGATAGTTGTATAATGCTGAATTAATACTATCCATTAGTCAGTTCTTGCAGAATCACAGAGATATATTCTAAGCACAGCAGAACACAGATCACCATTCTCACTTTTGTTTTAGATGCAACAGAAGAATTTACCAGCTGAAAGCAAATACATCGGCACATGGGAGATTTATATTTAAAATGCTATCTTGATCTGTGCTGTCACATAGTTGCTGGCATGATTTTTCAGGCCTACATTAAATATCAAGAAAGAAACCTCAACACCCGACCTTTCTATCCACTCAGTTCTCCACACCTGAAAGAGGAGAATGATTGAAAGGCACTCACTGCTATTAATGTCAGCTAGAGAAACTAAGAAAAAAGAAAGGAATGAAATGGTCACCTGGGATAAACACACAAACCATCAGTCTAATCATTGAACTCGTGGGACAAAACACCCTGGCACTCAGACAATCCATGCACAAGGTCTGCTGGAAAACAGACTGTCCAATATATACAGCAGAACAATCTGCAGGTTCTCCACCAACATAAACACTGATCTGAACCTTGAATATCCTGAATTACTCGCAATATTCAAATAAAGAACTTTCCAACCACTGACCAAACTCTGAGAAATCACAAATGCAAACACAAATCAAAGTCGCTTCCACTGAAATCTCACTTGCTGTATGTGAACTAGTCACTATTTGGAATAAAGATTACGTGCTCCAGTTACTTTACCATCACTTCTTTGTCTTTGCAGTGCAAGCGTATGTTTATACTGTCCTGCACCTAGAGAATGACAGAATGGGATGCAGCCATTCATGAAAATCAGGCTCAGACAGGCCATTTAATCAACAATGACAAAGAAAAGAAATGCCTAAGTTATTTGAACTGTTTTTAACTGTTACACAGTAAAGATCACTGACATGGTTAACATATGAAACACCGCCATAGTTCCCTGAATCTCCAAAATGCCATACAGATGTGATTTTCTACACTTAAATTAATAGTTTAAGCAAGGATCTTGTGAATTCTACAAAATGCCTACAAAGTTGAATATAGACTAAATATATTTCCTGTGGACAATCTGCATAATTTTTATACAGTAAGAAAAATTAAACTATCACATTAAGTTATTATTAAGAGGTGGTGTGTTGAAAAGTCCAGTCAAAGGTGCTACATGAAATTACAGCAATCACACTGCTGGCAGCTTGCACCCAGCCCTTTACCCCCTTTTTAAAAACTGTCAGCTAAGTAAAGCTTTACAAACACTAGCTTAAGTACACTTAAGCATGATAGCACACAATGCATGATAGCAAACACAAGGTCAAAAAAATACAAGAAAATGTCTCTCTCTCACATCTTAAGCATTCATCTCCCTCGGGATATGTTCTTAAAGACTCAGGATTCTACATTTATTGCTCAAACTTCCCAAATATTACATTAAATGCAAGTGATTACTGGCAGTAACATTTACTTCTTTCACTTCCTAGTATATTGCATTTGAGAAGTATGTCACTCCAGATCGCATGGTATTTGCTGGAGTTGCTTTTCAGAAGTTAGGAAGTAAGTGAACAAGTAGCATAAAATGTTTCAGGAAATTCCACTGTTTACCACAGTAACAGTTATAGAAGCACAAAATATAATGTCTGTAGGTGAATTTCTCTCTTTCCTTGTGTATTTTTGTTCACTACTGGAGCAATAAAAAAAACCCAAACATTTTTTCACCAATTCCATATTCTGGAGCATGGATGTCCTAGCTCAACTAGAGTTAGCTCCAAAAGGACAGGAACTCTCTGAACTTTTAGTTTTCATAAACAGATGAAACCTTTTTGTCAGTGACTTAAAAATCTGGTAGTAATCTTAAACAGAATCAAGGTTCGGAAATTATACTTGTTGCAAAACATATGGAAGGAGTGGATTCTGACAGGCCAGTGCCTTAGCAAGTCATGTACCTGTGAAATAAGTTATTTAATGAATAAAATTATTCTGGGATAAGAAAGGAGTTAGTAGAAAAAAGTTACTAATCTAGCATGTTGTGCACCAGCCAGTACATAAGTACAGTAAAGCAAATTTAGTATTTTATTTAGGTAGATTTTCTCTCTATTAAAATTGTGTCTCTTAAAATCTTAAATTCCATTGTGCCTTTCAATCCCCCACCCTCGGATACAAACCCTACTACAGAATTCTACTACTGCAAAACCATTCCCGGTTTTGCAATCAATTCACCCTTTCTGAACAACATTGAAGAGGTGTGCCTGCATAGTTACTGGGAGTGCCCACACTCTGCAGCTAGCTGGGTCCTTCACCAGCAGCACTGACCAGTTCTCTCATTTCTTTCACCCTGGGATAGTGGCAGAGAATACAAAATTTTGGGGGAAGACAGCTAAAACATTTTCCTACATATCTGGCTGAAAAAAAAGCCAACCACAAAACCCGAAACACAGGATTAGAGAAGGCAAAGGGAAGACCTAGCCAAGGCTCCCCTAAAGTGCAGATGCCTGACAAAAAACACCAGGGAGAGCACATAAACATATAAACCAGGAAATCCCACAAGCTTAAAAGGGGAAGGAGGCACCCTGTTTAAGTACAAAGAGAGGTTTAGATCGTAACATCATCATCACTTTTTCTCCAACAGAAGCTTTGTTGGTTTGGTTTGGGATTTTTAATCGCAGCTGTTTGATTTTTTCTGTGAGTGGGCTATATTCCTGTAGACAGTGGCTTTGGACTGGAACAGAGTATGAAAATGCTGTATTACACATTTCCTTGATTAATTTAGATATGTCCATATACTGCATTGTGCCTCAAACCTCTGTAACATATTATCAAACACTGAGACTGTATAATGTTTTGAGAACACACTGAAGAAAAAAGGATTACTTATGAAAAGAATATTACATAGCCTATGCCTTGCTTCCAAAAAGGAGAAGTACATTTCCACCCAGCCTGCAGACATTACATGACTTATACATAACTTACCTAGTAGGTGAGGACAGCCAAATCTGCCGGTTTGGTGTTTGCTTATTGATTACATATGTTCCCATGTCTCCTCCTAATTTAATTGTTAGAACTCCACTCTTAAAACACAAAGAAAATAAATGAGAAGATAAAAATTTGCATCCTGTTACTTGACAAGAATGATACAATCTGGAGCAGATAAACAGAAACTTACACATCTGTATCACATACCCAACTATTTCCCAAACAATACTAGCTTGGAAGAATGATTGTTAGGTATCAAAAACTTGTGTTAACACCTAGGACAACCTTCGTATCTTTGTTAAACCTTCTGGTCAGTTTGACATAGCATGTTTGCACCACTCACAATGGCACTACTTAAACAATACCCATGAACTTTGTTGTGACCTGTCATCTTGAAAAGACTGCTAGTTCACTTGACAATGAGTAAAACATCACCCAATAACAACTTTTTCTATTTATGAACAATGCAGAACAAGTGTAGATCAAAGTCAAGAAGCTTTGTGTGCCATTGCTAGATTTCTAAGCCAAGCAATTTTACCTAATTTTTCTTAAGTAACTGTAACAGTTTCCCAGTGAATAAACACAATTCCTTCTCCAATAACTCTGATGAAGTTCCTAGAACCTGAATCATACCTCAAAAATGTTCCACTTCTAAACTCTGTGAGGTCTGGTTTGTTTTAGCTATGCCAGCTTTAGACCATTATCCTAGTAAGCAGTTATTTTCTCTTTCTTACTGACAGGATGATTCACATTTCTCTGACATTTTCATTAGTGCATCTGAAAAGCAGACATAACTCCAACAAAAATATTTCTGTCCTAATTTTATGAGTAAAGGAACACCATGACTTGGACTAGAGTTAACCCACAGATGATCTGAATTATGCTAATTAAAAAGGGTATATCTACAGAGTACAGCTTGATGATTCAAATAACAGGTTAGTCATATTTAATCTACTGTTTCTCAAATACTTCAGGCCCTACACAATGATAAAGCTGTAAGAGCAGGTTGGGGTGATTAGGCCTGAATGGCCATATAAAGGTTTCACTCTTTTTCTATGTGCTCTTTAGTAACATATTAAGTATTCAGTGTGATACTGTATGCTACAGAAACACTGTAAGTAAGCAGGTTTCCAAAGAGTTAACCAAAAATCTGTATTATTGCTTACACTCTGTGTCAGCTGTTGAAAAGTATTGTTGCTGTCACTAAAAAGGTTAACTTCTAATGCTGCAGTTAAAACATTTTCTCATACATTTTGCAATACTTTTGAAATACTAGAAAATACAACTTGAGTTTTTAAGAATTTTAAATAAAAATAAACTTTTACCATATCTTAAGGAACACTACTGTAGGTGTTTTGTACTACTGGATGTTTCATAGCTCCAGGTAACAAGAATATTCTTCGAGAGATTTTTTTTTTTTTTTGCCTGGACACAAAGATATAAATTGCCTGAAGCAATCAAGTTTGTAACAATTCACCGGCATAACAGATCTTGATCACGTTCGCCACCGTGTGGCTGCTGTAGCACTAGCCTTGCTTGTTTGGGATTAACTTCGGTAAATTTAGGGCTATTTAACCTTTCACTCTTAACAGAAAAGACAACATATTATGATGTCATCACACGGTCTATGCAACAAAGGAGTACTGGTAAAAAATAAGATGGGTGTAAAAATAATTCCTTTCGAGCCTCACAGTGAGTTAATGTCAAACACAATCCATGCTACAATGGCTAGAGATGGAATTCTGACATAAGATAGCACATCACCTTCACGTAATGAAGCATCTAAGAATACTGAAGATGTAAATGATAACCTTTTTGCTAATTTTCGTCCTAAACTCTTTAGATCAGGCTAATAGGTGCTGATATGCTAAAACATACTGAATAGTAAATGGTTAAACAATTCCTTCATCAGAAGAGCAATTACCTATAACAGTAATTACATACTTAAGTAAAGTAACAAACAGTATTTGCAAGGGCAAGAACAGAATCCTACTAACAATACACTATTTTCTATAGTAGCTATAAGAAATAAAGAACAAACATTATGATGATAAAGTTACACGGGAGCAAGTTCAAACAATACAGGGGTTTGGTGGTGGTGTTTAGGGGGTTTTTTTGGCACACTGCAACCCAAACCATCTGCTTCAACATCCCTGTGCGTAACACCGTAACTGACAGGGCTAGTAGAAAGCACCCTCCTTGTGGTAAGATATGAAGAGGGAGCAGCAGTTATGTGACCTCAAAAAAAAGGCGGTAGTGAAAGACCTGCATCGCAGATGGCAGGAAAGGGAGAAACTGCATTCTCCTCCAAAACATGTAGAGGGCTGTAACACACGAACAACTTCAGGAATTGTATCTAAAACTAATAGATTCCCTATACAAATGGAATGGGCTTTTTTATTCTGAGTCTGTGACTCCTGTAAAAGAATTTGACCTATTAAAGGCTCCAATTATCAGGCTAGCAGCCACCCAACACCACCCATGACAGAGGCCTTCTTCCCATGTATGCTCTGGTCTCATTTTTGCAACCATCGATCCAAATGCTGCATCCTCTTGCTGCTTCTCTCCATTACAGGCTGAGTCATCAGTAAAGCTGGGACAAACGCACTCTACCTGGTCAAGACAAATGCTGCTTCTCAGTACTCAGGGCAATCAATGAAACTGCTCTGCCACTTACATGCCACGTACACACATGTGTACTGTGCCATACAGGCCTGTCCCAGTACTCACTGGGAGGGAAGTGACTGCTGATGTCAGAGGTGTATGTGTGTTTAGAAAAAAAATACAGACTACTGTGAAATTACAAACCAGATTCTGTCTCCTCTTGTGCTCTTTCGTTATGCTACATTATGTCTTCCTTTATACACTTTTATACATTTTACATCCTCAAATCATACAACAGTATGTGTTATTTTTTAACAAAACAGTTGCCTCAGTCAGTGTAACCAGGCATATTTTAACAATAAAGCTGTATAAATACATTGTACTTAAGTGTTGGCACTAAGGTGACTAATTTAAAATTCTACTTCAAAGAAAAAGTATACAATAATCACAGTGGTAAAGGAATGTTTAAAATATACCCCTAAAGAGACATCATAATCTTCTGGAGTAAAAGGCTTATCTGTCAGGTCCTCAAAGAAATCTGCTAAGGAGTCCAGTGTTTCTTCAGCCAGTTTTTCATAAGTGGTCTCATCTAAAGAGCTACAAATGACATACAAACCCATGATTAGGAGGAAAAACATGGGACACAGTATTTTCCCTATCATAAGAACATACCAAGACCATGAACTTGGAGGAAATGGTAACTATGGAATGATCACATAAAACAAGTAGTAATTTTTCTTAAGGTACTGTAGGTAACAATCCACCTTACAGATGGAGGTGGTATTTTGAAATTTTGGTAGTAGAGAGCTCTAACTGAGGAATGTGCACTTTTTTCCTTAGATACACTGACCCGTGTACTAAGAGGACAGAGTTATACTTCAAAATACGTCACTTTCATAGAAGGACTTTGTGCAAGAATTACTTAGTTTTCAACTCTACAAATAGATAGAAGCATCTCCTGTTTGGAAGCATATATAATTTTACTGTAAGAAACTCACTGTACCTATAAGCAGTTTAGAAATATCAATATTATATGCCATATCTATGTATGGCATTTGACTAAATTAACTCAAATTACCAATGTAGCACCATAATTAGATCTTATTTAAAGTGTGCTTCCAAATTAATACATACAATTAGAGTCATGTATTTCAGAGAGTCTCAAAGCACCCTTGTAGCCATTACATAAGGCTTATAGCACTTACAAGACTGCTTCTGTTACCCTCTTTAAATAAGTAGAAAAAATTAGTGGGAAAAAAGTCTAGATCAGTTTAATTAACCAAACATAATTAAACCATGGAAGCTTTTCCATCCATATCAGTGTCAACTTTTATCCAAGTGGGTATCTCTAGCAACAGTCAATTCAGTGAAATAATTTCAGTTTTTGCTAAAGGGTATGGCAATACAAGAGTTACTGTGAACTATGGTGACTCAGTGTCTTTCAGCTGATGATAGACACATATCTTTTTTCTTAAAGTTTCTTGCTAGCCTGTAACTGAAACACACTCTATGCCACTTATGTGGGGGACACCACAGAAATACCAAGGGGTGTGGAAAACGGAAGGCCTTAGGGTTAAGCAGGATTCATATAATGGTTCAGGGTGCAGTTCAGTTATTTAATGGTAAGAGCCGTTCTAGACATCTGCAGAGTCCTTGACGGGGCCTCCAACTGCTGCATCAGAAGGGGAGAAGTCTCTAACAGATACTGAGTTGCATCCTCTTGGTGCAAGGCAGAAATCTCACGTACTCTGACATACGTGAAATGTTGCTAGACATCTGTGTTTAGGGACATGACTTATTCCCTAAATGACTTTCTAAATGCACCCAAAATGCTTTTTGATAAAACTGTACTTTTCCTTTACATCATCATATCAACATCACATTAGTTTGACAGTCCCACCATGTCTAGAGATTATTTTAAAATGCAGAAACAGTATTTTGACATGAAGATCTCAAAACAGAATTTACCTTGTGTCACTCAGACTTCTGGCATTTCTTAAATTCATGAACTGAACAGTCTTGCTCTTCACTTCTAAAGCACATTGTAATTGCTGTTGAAAGCAAGCATAAGTAAAACAAAATTAAAAGTTAAAACATGAAAAATTATAAATTACGTATTTGACACACAAATTAAATAGGTATTTGAAAACCTCTCCATCTCCTCCAAGTAAATATTCATATTATATGTCATAGAGTAATATGGAAAGAATTATGCTGCTTTAGTCCTTAGCTAATTGAGGCAATGTATAATATCCTTGTCTTCTGATACAAACTAATGAAAAATAAAAATTATTCATAGAATAGGGAACTAGGAAAGACCTGTTTTCTATTGCTCTACCACAGAATTACTGAAGTACCTCAGACAACTGGCTTAGGCCAAGATTTTCACAAGTATCCGCTACTCAGACGCTTCACTATCGACAACTTGTGTCTCTCTGTTAGAAGCCGTGAATAAATTCAACTGAACTAAACAGAAGCCCTGAATCCTCCTTACTTAACTTTTGTAAGAGCTAACACCACACTTACAGATTCACATTCCAGATCTCTTCTGGAAAACAAGCAGTTTCATTTCTAATTTTTCTTCTGTTTTAAAAAATGTTTTAAAGAACAAATCAGAATTACAGAAAAGCTGTATCAACATACTGGCACTTTAAGACAAGTGAACAAAACAGGCAGCGCCTTTAAGGGGAAGCAAGACACCAACATCGTGAAAGTTGATCCCACAGTCTAACGCAGTAGCAGAAGCACTTACACTATCCACCAAGAAAGACTGCATGCTTTCCATTTTCTTCTTAACCTGGGCTATGAAGGTGTAGATTTTTGGATGAATGGTAAGATAGCATTCTTGATTGCTTTAAAATGCACAAAGTTTTGAAAACTAACAGAGTGAGATGAAAAGCAAATAACGTTTCAAAATGCCTCTCTTAAAGTACACGTAACAGCAAACCACGAACATCTCTCTCCACCTGGTCTGACGTCTATCCCCAGGCATTACAGATGAACTGGTCTGTTAGTCGAAAGCCATGACACGGGCATAAAGGAGAGAAAACAGCAAACTACTTGTACCATCATAACGATACAGGTTGACAAAATACACGGCTGTGCTTGCCAGGGCTGGGAACCACAGAGGCCACCGGGCCTGGCTGGGCCTGCTGAGGAAGCTCTGCAGGCCACCCTTCCCTCCCCGGACCACAGGGCCCTCCTGCAGCGGGAACCCGGCCCGCTGCTGTCCTGCCC